GAGATTATAAAGGGTGTTTCCTGATTACGTCAAAAGTTGAGTGGGAGCCTAGCTTGGTTACCACAAGATTGGATTGAAACTACCGATTAACTTAGGGAATGTATCATGACCACTTGAAGAGGGAGAATTCATGAAATACGTGGTTGCGTTCAAATGTATTACTTAGTAATCATCTGATTTTATAATTCTAACTCAAATTTCAAGAAACGACTTGTAAATTAATATGATCTCGACATAGGATGCAATCATATTAAAAAAATAGACACATATTGACTTAAGAAATTTGAATATTGCACACTTGTCTCAAACAATGCAAGTGGGAGATTGAAGGATTTAAGTCTTCGTCAAGTGCAATTACTAGATATATAAATGGATCAAATTATGGAGATAATTAAGTTCGTCCATTTGAGTCATCGTTATATCATAGCTAGAGATACTAACGATCTTTGGGCTAGTAATATAGGCCAAAGCCTAATTGGACGGATACTATAAGGTCACACAAAGAGCCTAGATTGAGCATTAGAGGACGAGGCCCATGATGGGCCTCATCCCCTAGGTGGTCGGCCATGATGAGGAGTTTGGAGGTTTTGGGCTTCAGGGTCACTAACAAGCAAGTTTATTCTTGTGTGAACCAAACGAGCACTTAGTTTATAACAAAGAAAAGTTGTCAATTGCAACAATTTAAAATTTGTATTTTGTAAATTGCAGTCATTTAAAAAAAATTGCAAATTGCAGCTCAAAAGTGCTAATAAATTATAAATTGCAACCCAATTCAATTTTTTCATCGATGCGTGTCGAAAAATACACTGTTAAGGTTTTAGGGGTCATTTGAGCTTAGAATTTGCAAATAAAAAATAATGTAAGTGTCTCATTTTGTGTATCAAATATGTATCAATTTGCGTGCAACTATTATTTACCGTGAAAATGAGGCTCTTAGGTTAATATTTTGTCAATTCCGAGCTTATTTTGGTTTCTTATGTTCTAAAATGGCCCATAAAACCTTATCGAAACATTTTTTGACACGTAAATCGATGAAATAATTGAATTAGGTTGCAATTTACAATTTATTAGTACTTTTAGGTTGTAATTTGCAATTTTTTTTAAAATGGCTGCAATTTGCATAATATAAACTTTAAAATGGCTGCAATTTATTACCCTTATTTAAAAGGTGTTGTTAATTTGTTATTCTCCTTTTAGTTTTGTTTTGGGCTTTTGGCTAGCAGTGTTTTGGGGTTTCTCCGTTATTTAGCAGGTGGATGGTGTGCCCAAATGTGCTAAAAGACGAAATCATTTACTAATGTAATATCTTTATAATTACACTGATTTGCGCACATTTTTGTCATGCATTTCAACATTTTTAAACTAGTACGGAGTACCAAATGAGGAAATATATTTAATGTTTGTTTGTAGCCGTTAGGACTAAATATAGCATTATCCTTTTTAATAAGTGTAAAGTTGATAATATTCTCTTTTATTTGTTTCATTTCACTTGTTTGTAATGCAAAAGGTCAACGTTTTACTAAAAAAAAAAAAAAGAAAAGGGAGCAAACCTAAACCTTAGATGTGTCTATTTGACTATTTACTATTTTTGTATGCAACCTGATGTACCGTGCAACAGGGATTATTCGAGTTGTCGAGATTACTCGAGTTTATCAGGGGTTACTCGAGTTACTCGGGGTTACTCAATTAGGGGTTACTTGAGTTACTCCTGGCCGAGTAACCCCTCGAGTAATCCCTAACCGAGTAACCCCGTAAGTAACCCCTGACTAAGTAGTTCGTCAAGTAACCCTTAATCGAACTCCTTAAGTAACCCCTGACCGAATTACTCGAGTAACCCTTGATCAAACTCCTTAAATAATCCTAACCGAGTAAGTCGAGTAACCCCTGATTGAGTAACTCGAATAATCCATGACCGAGTGACCGCTCAAGTAATCCTTGATTGAATGAACCCCTCAAGTAACCCTTGATTGAGTGAACCCCTCGAGTTACCCCTGTACGAACCCCTCAAGTAACCCTTGAATGAGTAACTCGAGTAATCCCTGACTGAATAACTCGAGTAACCCTTAACAAAATAATTCGGATAACCGCTGCCACACGGTGTGGCCTGCTACACCAAAAAGTTGGTGTTGACTATTCTTTTTTTTTTTTTGAAAGATCAATTTTTCAATTTTAATTAAATGAAAATAGTTTTCGTGACTACAACAATTCATTAGAAGTTTAGACTGTCTTTTCAAATAAACTAGATGAATTCCGTGTGATGCATGGTTTGTTTGAATTTTTTAAAATAATTTTTTTTTTGTATGTATGTGCTAGAACTTGTTATATATTTAGATAAAATTCATAATATCAAAAGATACTATTTTGTATTTAATTAATTTAAATTTAAAAGTCTCATTCGCCAATTTTGCTTACGTGGCATTTGAATTACTTATTTTATAAGAAATTAATAATCTCTTATTTTATTGGCTATAACTAACATTTATAATCCTACGTGACGCGTCAAGAAAATTAAATCTTACGTGGCTCTCTAAAAACTCGGGAAAAAACTCCCCTTTATATATATTTATTATTTATTTAATTTCAAAAGAAATTAATAATCTCTAATTTTATTGGCTACAACTAAAATTTATAATCCTACGATGCGTTAAGAAAATTAAATACTACATGGCTCTCTATAAACTTGGGAAAAAACTCCCCTAGAAGCCCGTGCGATGCACGATTTGTTTGGTTTTTTTTTTTTTTTTTTTTTTTTGTATTTATGTGCTAAAATTTGTCACATATTTAGTTAAAATTCATAATATTAAGAGATAATGTTTTATATTTAATTAATTTAAACTTAAACATATCATTCGCCAATTTTACTTGTGTGGCATTTGAATCAATTAATTCTAAAAGAAATTAATAATCTTTTATTTAATTGGTTACAACTTAAATTAATGATCCGGCGCGCTAATAAAATTAAATCCAACGTGTCTCTCTATAAACTCGGGAAAAAAACTCCCCTATATATATATATATATATATATATATATTAAACTAGGTTAAATCCCGTGCCATGCACGGTCATAATTAAACTTTACAACAAAATTTATAAAGAATGGTGTTAATTCAACAAATTTATCCAAAAATAATATTTGTAACAAAATAATAGTCTCTAATTAAAGATATTAATGGTCAAAGTTATATCTCAACAAATGTGCAAATCCAACCATAACTTATAAAAAAACGGAGGAGTATAATATAATAAAATGATTTTGTTAAGTTGTTCTTATAAACGTTATGTACAATTGTATATTTGTAAGATTTATACAAATTATCCTACCAAAATTATTATTCCTATTTTTTATTAAAATAAATTTTAAGTTAGAGGAAAAAAAATTATAATAATATTATGATAATCTTGGATGATGATATATGTCAATATCTTAATTTCAAACTATGATAGTGTATTTGTAACTAAAAGATTTATAGTATATAAAATATATGTTGAAAAAAAATAAAATAAATTATTTGAGTATGATTGGATTAAATGTGTTGTCAAAATGGAAATAAGTATTATGGTAGGTTATAAAATGGAAGTGATTAAAATTTGGCAAAAAAAAAAGAAAGAAAAAAAAGAGGGAATTTTTTTTATAACATCGTGACAAGTTTCACTTTAGGTTCGCTTTTAGTATAGGTTAATTGATGATTGATTGTACTCATATATTCCAACGTCCCATGTGAAAGAAACACATTTATTTAAAGTAACTTTTCTATACATTCAACGTACAACATTTATCAAATTTAGGGTCACCTTTATAATTTTTTGGGTAACTTTTATCAGTAAAGTATATATATTTCGTAACTTTTATTTATGCGGAGTAACTTTTATTCATATTAAGGTAACTTTTGCTCATTTTAGGGTAACTTTATAACGAAGATACAACATTTATTGTATATCCGATTTATTTAAAAGTTTATGATTATTTAACTCAATTGATAATGTATATGTTAAATATGATTACTCTTATATTTGATGTATGCCTATTTATTAATTAATGTTCATTAGAATAGTCATACTGAAATTGATTTTTTTTGTTTACATCTTTAAAGATGAATTATTTTGTACTGTGACATGCATTTTGTACTTACTAAAGTTAATTTTAACTAAATAAAATCTATTTATACTTTAAAAATTAGGAAAATTTTGACAATTACCATCTTCTGTTTAGTCCATTTTAGCAATTACCACCTTCTATTTTTTTATTTGAAAATTACCACCTTCTATTTTCAAAAACATCAAAAGTTACCACTTTCTTGCCTCCCAACTACCACATGACGTCATTTTGGGCTCATTCTTTCCCTTTCCTCCCTATTTCCCTCACATTTCTCATTCCTAACTTGATTCTCATCCCCCTTTCACTTTTTTCCCCCCAAACAATAAAAAACACTTCAATTCACTCCTCCAAATCAAAATTGACGAACAATTCTTGGTGATTTGGGGGAAAAAAGTGAAAGGGGAGATGAGAATCCAAATAGGAATGAGAAATGTGAGGGATATAGGGAGGGAAGGAAAAGAATAGGCCCAAAATGACGTCATGTGGTAGTTGGGGGGCAAGAAGGTGTTAACTTTTAATGTTTTTGAAAGTAGAAGGTGGTAATTTTCAAAAAAAAAAAAAAATAGAAGATGGTAATTGCTAAAATGGACATAACAAAAGGTGGTAATTGTCAAAATTCCCTAAAAATTATAATTAAGGTGAAATACTCATAATCTAAACAAGTCCCTTTACTTTCCACACAATCAACAAAAAGATACAAACCTTAGTTTCCCTCCTTTCAATCCCAATCCCAATAAGTTCAAACTCAAAGCCATACACTCCATGATTGTTCTACATTTCTAGAGGCTATCATCAGCAAATGCATCACTCCTTTCAAAATTCTATCATTCTCCATATTGCTTGAGGTTAATAGTTAACAGTCATCAGCAGATCACTCAACTTCGTTATCGGAAACTCTATAAATAGTCTTGGGCAATTTGGAATCAACTAATTCATATATGTCTTGTAAATTCAAACATTAGATAAAATCATCCCAACATTTGCTGGGCAAGGCTTACCTAATTTACATTCTATCTCAGCGGCGGAAAAAACAGTCTGGCATTTGCCAAAACCGTCATAACGCAACGAAAAGAAGTTCCTATTTAAATAGCTTAAACACTTGAATTCAGACATAAACAACCTCAAAGCGTCAGCTGAAATCTTGAAGCCACGAAACTCCTCAAACTCCAAGCTAAAACTTCTTAATCTGCAAACACCTGAAACCCTTACTTATCTGTATATTTCTTTTCCCTTTACAAATATGTGATGTGTTGGAATGTTGGACAACTCCTTGTGACCGCCAACATTATTCCTCAGAAACCTCTTACACTCACAGCTTTTTCCGATATGCCAACATCTGAAATCAACATTAACAAAGTGACATTGTTGAAAACCAGACAACCATTCAGTCTAGTAACCAAAGATATAGAAGCCTTACCAAGTGGCCTTGAGTGAAATTGCTTGAAGCTTTAAGTCCAGCAAGGGTTTCTTCAGAATTCAACACTTGCAACTCATCTTTGCATGCCTCAAATGCAGTCGAACTTAAAGAGCTTCCTTTTGCTCCCAAAATTTCAACTTTATCAGATGGCAACGAGGTCTGATGAGAAATAAACTGCAAGAATATACAAATAATAATGTTTCATAAACACGTTTACGGAGGGAGGGTAAGACAGAAATGTCCCCTTTTTGGGGGTGAATAAAAGCTAAATTTTGGATCAGATGGTTTACTTCGCATATTTGCCCCACAGATAAGGCTGGCCTGCCACACAAGTAGGAGTGCTCAAGAAGAAGTTCTTTCTGCTCGTCGAGAGAAACAAGCACTACTTGAATATCCAACTGGAACAACAAGAACTTATTTCAGCACCCTTACCAAAGGATTTATTCATAATCAAAGCCATTGATACAACGTTATTTTACCTACTCCAGCAGTGTATATATAGTATAAATTACCTCTACAGTAAATTGAGCATGCATCTTATAGCATATTAGCATAATCAACAGTTCTCTTTTGTTCTCATAAGCTATACTAATATTATATCTTATTATATGAAAGTAAAATTTTGATAAAGATTGGTTCTCATATATAAAAAGCTCGTCTCTTACAGACATGCAACCAAATTACCTCACTTTCATTCTGCTCCCATGTCCGAAAATAATCAGTCAACTTCACAAAACGACCACGAGAGTGCTTGACATTGCCACCATTGCCACTCCCATATCTAGTACTGCTCCGTAAGCCACCTCTACCCCAGGCAAGAATTTCTGAGGTTCCAACAAATGCTGCTGGTGAAACCCCAGCATCCCTGTGGACCACCTCCTGTTCATTTTCATCACCACCTCCATCTCCGCTAGCGGCTGCTGGCGATGGCTGACCTCTCCACCGCTTTGATCTTTTAGATTTAGACTCTGTGCAACGTTCATCTGCAGAAGATGAATCTTTACCGCCATCATGACCATTGGCATCATCATCATCGTCAGACCTATAGTTTCTTCTTTTTCGATGATTACTCTGTGATCTTTTCCTTTTCCGGCCAAGTGCTTCACTCTGTCGGCGGAAAGTTTGTGCAATTGCAGCTTGGATCTGTTTGAGTATTTAGAGTTTCAATAGTTTAATGCCCACAAAGAAAGAAAAAACACCAAACATGGAACTTTTCTTTCAAAGACTAGCCTCATCCAATGAATTCCAAGAAGGATTGATGCCAGAGCTAACAATAAACGTAAATGTGCAAGACAAACACATGCATGTATGAAAGCACGAAAGCCAAATCCCTAGAAGAATAAGTTTTCACCTGCTTGTTTCGAACTCTTTCATCTTCCTGAAAAGCCAGCTCCTGTCACCAAGTAATTATCAGGTTTGCCAATAAGAAAAGCATGGAGAAATCACAGTTGATTAAAGAGAGTGGCCCAGAGTGCACAATATAAGTTATAAGACATAACAATATCAGGATAATTGATCAACATATAGTTACTAGAGAGGCATACCTCTTCTTCATATCGATCAATATCAGGATATAATGCAGCAATCAGTGCATCATAATTTGGATCATCTCTTAAGGACCGCCGACTAGCACAGTGCTTGCGGCAAGCAGGGCATTCATTGTTCCTGCTTAACATTATTCAAGGAAAAATGGTTTACATCTACCATGCAGAGTATCCATTTAAAAAAAAAAAAAATTAAAAAAAAAATATAATAATAATAATAATAATAATAATAATAATAATAATAATAATAATAATAATAATAATAATAATAATAATAATAATAATAATAATAATAATAATAATAATAATAATAATAATAATAATAATAATAATAATAATAATAATAATAATAATAATAATAATAATAATAATAATAATAATAATAATAATAATAATAATAATAATAATAATAATAATAATAATAATAATAATAATAATAATAATAATAATAATAATAATAATAATAATAATAATAATAATAATAATAATCAAACAAAGTGCATGTTTGTTATTATTGCCAATATTGATTATTTAAGTCTGGTAAAAATAAAAACAGGGTTTTTTTTTTTATTTTAAAAAATTACCAACACTTTGTAAGTTATCATTTTTGTTGTCAACTTACAAAATAAGCATGACCAGTATGAGTATGACTAGTGAATTCAAAAGAAGAAAACAGGTAGTGATACCGATATAGCCCTAATTATAAGACAGAAGCACTGTCAAATCCTAACAGTAACATTATTAAAAGAATTTCCCATAAAGGAGACTAAGTTGTGCACAGCCTTATACCCATACAATAAAACAGAGGTTAATGGGCCCTTTATATAAAAACGCAAAGACCATAAGAATTGTGAGTAGTTTACGAGTTTAGTCCATAGAGACAGCCAATTATTATGCATATTTTGGTTCATAGGAATGTACAACGCTAATCCTTAAAAACAAAAAGGCACTAGCATATTTGAATATACACACCCCATCCGCATTGATTTGTCAATGCATTCTCTGCAGAAGCGATGCAGACATTCCATAACTGTTCTTGTCTTACGGATGATCCCTAGCACATAAAACAGAAAAATATAAGTATCAAGGTACCAACCAGAGAAACTTGAGTTTGAAATTATAAGTGAAAAACAAGAAAAGCATTAGCTGAATGTCAGAGAATTTAATATTGTAAGATATCTCAACTGCTTGAGGTTGTTGCTTAAAGAATAAAATCAGGAACAGCCTAGAACAAGTGATAAAGCTAAAGATACCAGATTGATGCATAAGATGAGAAATAAAAACGCCATGCTTATTTCATCAAAGTCATCAGGTACTAGTTCTTAGCACACATAAAGGGGAAAAATCACATTTTGGAGCATCAACTTATAGGAAAACAATTAGCTTTACCTGTTAGGTGATTCCATAAACTGACATGATCACATAGGATAGGAGGAAGAAAAAAAATCAGAGAGCCAGATAGGCATTATGTTGATTAGACTGAAAGTAGAGATAGCCTACATAGTATATGTTTAATGTATACTTTATACACATGTAAGGATTTCTTTTCCCTCTTCCTGAAAGAAATACATATAAATTTACACAATGTTGCCGATTTAAACATTCGCTCCACATGTCAGAACCGTGACATACAAAACATCAACAAAAATAATCAATTCTGGGGTGTTCTTATAACATGGTATACCTAAATTATCACAATTGGACAATATATTGCAACTTCTGAACAAATTAAAACTATTACTGGTATGTAAAAGGGAAGTCAGGTTCACAAAGCTATATCGGGAATCAGCTCAAATTGCTCAATAATTTCCCCTTCTCATACACTTTGATGGTAACATGTTCATGCAACATAACTACTATCTAGTTCTGTATTAATTAGTGCCTCCAAATGAGGGCCAAGAATCTCTCTAATAAATAAGTTCCATTTCCTCTGACCATTACTGCCTTTTACAACAACAAAAATACAGGCCAGTATGGATCTTTCCATTAATGGGGTCTCAGGACCTAACCAGTAGAGAGTAGAGACTGATAATAATGGTTATTACCTTAACTGTACAGGTTTAAAATTTTACAAAAACAAAAAAATAATGTCAGCCAAAACTCACACTCAAACAACCCATATCAATTAGTGAAAGTACCTCCAATTTAAACTTTGAAATCAAAGTAATACAGTACAATCTCCTATTGTCACAAACCAGATATGTAACAGGCCAATTTACATCTATACTGATAGACAAAAAGAGATTATTAATTGTCACTCATATGATCAGAATTTGTGATCATCTAGAGAGCATGTATAACATACACCTGGCTAATATCATGCCAAACTTAATATAAATTATTTTGGGAAAACGAAAAAAGTTAGGTCTCAGCTCTCAGTTGGCAAGGAATAAGCCTATTTTAGACAGAACAGTTGCTACAACAGTTACCACCAGTACACCACAACTTGCAACAGACTGCAACTTACAGGTTTGAACTTTGAACTAAGGAAAAAAGAATCTAAGCTTGTAGCCTACAGATCTACAGGTGTTATACAATTTACCCAACACAATATGATACCCTTATCATGAAATGGCAAACCAGCATAACATGGAAAAATACAGAGTATAAATATTGCATGGAATATTTATTTTAACCATGATAAAAATATGTACCCATTGCAATTAATCATTTAAATTCTCAACGTATATCACAAGACTGAACAGAAAATTCCAATAAGTGATTCTATGACACAGTAAACAGGTAGGCAAGCAATTGCAATATACCCATTTCCCAGCTTATTCTACAGCATTAAAGTGAGGATTCTCTTTAGTTACACTATCCTTTAGGCTTTAAATAAAAAAGTATGAACAAAACAACACCAAAATCATACTTGCACAGCATTCACATACATAATTATGTACAATATAATGCTAATATGATCTAAAATGACATTGCCATCATTAAATTACACTCCTATGTAAAGGATTATGAATCTTACCAAGACATATTGGACATTGTACTTCCTTGCGAATATCTGACAGTTTAATTAAAATTAATCTGCTAAGACAATTAAAAAAAAAAGGAGGGCATTACAACAAACTCAGATAGTAACAAGTAGAATTCAAAAGACCCAAAAAATTGGGTTCAAATGGGTCTTTATACATTAAGAGCCCTCAAAAGGAATGAAAATAATGACAGTAATTACATTATAATCAGATAAAGCAAAACAGGAAGAAAATATAAGAGAGAATAATAATCATAAATGATATGTGCACATAAACAACTAGCTTATCATGCAATTAATATTGTTGCATTTTAAGTTTTACTACCTCCGTAACTTTTTAGTTTCAATATTTTGATTAGACATGTTTGCCAACACATCACTTTGAATATTAGCTACGCTCTTAGTTAAAAAAAAATAATAAAAAATAATGTATAAAATATATATTGAGATTGACTCCAAAACAGTTAAATAATGAAATTAACTATTATACAATAGTAGACAAAAGTGGTCAAAGTTAGTCCGGGAATAGTGTAAACAGTAAAACGGAACTAGTATTTGACTGTCCAAGAAGCACAATAAAGAGTAAAACTGCCCAGCAAGCTCAAAAATCTCCTTGTTTCTTACAAAAAGTTGCAACCCAAGAATGTTAATTATGAGAAGATATAACCATGAAGGAGCTTTACCGCAACATGCAACTGCATTTTTTCCCTAATCAAGTATTATCAATTGAAAACTACTGCAAGATGGTTCCTCACCATAAACTAATAACCTCATAGTTGTCCATCTATCAAGGATAATATAACAAGCAATAATGAGGATGAATAAAGAATGTTGGTTCTCATAAAACCCGAAAAAAATGAGACAAAGCTTTCAGCAAGATATAAGCAACAAACACTTTCTACAAAAGAGAAGAAACAAACACACTCCATTAAAAAAAACAAACACACTCCATTAAAAAAACACAAACGGTAGCACTAAAACTCGAGAAGAAAATGTGGAATGTTAAGGCATAAACACAACAATAACGACTACAAATGAGGTACAGACACTGCAAGTCCTATGGCCTATACTAAACAAGTAATGAATGTCCTTCTATGAGGAAACTCGAGAAAGAAAAGCATAATTCTAACAGCCCAGAATTTCAGAATAAATCATCATATACATAGTCTACTGCATGCTTACAGCAAACTTCCAGCCAAAAAATAACCGAATCAAAACAAAATAAAAATTCAATTAAGTGAAAAGTTAATTCATACATCAACAACAGGAACTGCAGAACATCTAGCCGTATCAAACATAGCTGTAAATAGAAATTATTCAGCAACAAAGCATAATATTAATCACAGAATAATCCAGCATCAACATAAATGAGAACCAATGTATCTAACATATCCTCGAGACTCATTTAGAAATAGATAGCCAAATAAATATAGCTTAGTCAGCAAAACTATCGGGAAGTAATTCCGAAGACCTCGGATCAAATCCCGTCTACATCACTGCCACCGCCACTACCGCCACCACCACCGCCCTTTGGTATCTCCCTCGACACCAAAGAAAAATCGAGACACGCTTAGAACGCACAGCAAAAGACACGTCTAATTCGAGCACAATAGTAATCTCAGCCATTATAAAATGCATGAATGACTAACGCAATTTTACGAGCAGCCAACTAAAGAGGAAAATCGAGCACAATAGTAATCTCAAACACGGCAAAAACTCTAATCCTACGAAAATCACTGAAATTCGAGATATTCACAACCTTAATCATGAGTGATGAAGATAGAAACTGCGATAACTTACCCTTCCTTATTGACGTTACCATTAGTGATAAACGACGGAGTTCGATCGGTCACTGAAAATCAAAAATCACATCAACACTAACAAAAAATGAAACTGCTCATAGTAATACTCGTAATACTGGCAAAAAATCATTCAATTGAATCAAAAAACAACAAAAATGTGAGTGTAATAGAATCAAACAAACCTCTTCCGCCGCCATGTTTATCACCTTCATCATCTTCCGCATCATCATCATCATCATCTTCGTCGTCTTCGCCTTCTTCATCTCCATCTTGTTCCTCCTCATGTGGTGCTTCATCATCATCATCATTCGCAGCAACATCGCGTTGCTCATCAGGCTGGTTCTCCGGGACATCTCCGGCGGCGTTGTTGGGAGGATCCTCGTCGGAGTAGTTATCCTCCGCCGAACGTTTCTGCGCTGGCATTGTGCTGAGGAGAGAGAAAGTAGTTAAGGAAACTCCGATCCGCCGCCGCAAAAAGTGAACGGAATAGAGGTGAGGGTTTCGCCGGCGGAGGTGGTGGCGGCGAGGAGAGAGAAAATGGGAAAGAGAGAAAGGATAGAGGAAGGTGGTTGAGTATTGTTTGCTGCTTCTCTTCCTTGTGTCGTTGAAGAGGAGGAGTTTTATAGAAAAATATTCAGGATTTGCAGACCTTACTATTTTCCTTTTTTTTTCTCTTTTAATTATTTTACAATAATAATTCGGAGTAATTATTTATTTATTTTAACGAAACTTCTTTTTTTTTTTAGACGGGCTTGAAACGCAGCGTTTTGAGTTATCGGGGGTGGTATATGAGTGAAACGGTGAGTTTTGGAGAAATGGGTTAATTATCTGAAGCCACGTGGTTTACAGGAGGGATGGCGTTAAATTACATGTGAATGAAAATAAGGACGTGTGTGTATTTTTATTTTCTTCCGGCAATTTTATTTATTTATTTACCTCCCGCCATTAGACTGTTGTGAGTGTTTTCGGTTAAGTTTTTACTCAAATATTAGCTGAAAATAGTATAGTGCACCCGGGTGCACCATGCGCATGGTGCATCCGAAAAGAATATTAGGCTTATTTTAAAGAACATGAGGAAAAAAAAAAAACATACGAGTGTTTGAAAAAGAACATGCATAATAGTGTTCAACACAAGAACATGTTTGTGTTTGACAAAGAACATGGCCTCCGAAAAGAACATTAGGCATATTTTAAAGAACATAGAATAAAAAGAACATGTTAGTGTTTGAAAAAGAACATGCTAGTATTTGAAAAAGAACATGCATAATAGTGTTCAACAAAAGAACATCTTTGTGTTTGACAACGAACATGACCTCCGAAAAGAACATTAGGCATATTTTAAAGAACATGGAATAAAAAGAACATGTTAGTGTTTGAAAAAGAACAAGCTAGTCTTTGAAAAATTAACCTTGCTTGGTTATCTTCCAGTTGGCTTCAATTCATTACTATTCTTCTTTCTCCTCTAATTGTTCTTTTTTGAATAACTTGTACTTTATAGCTTTAATTTTTATTTTTATTTTTTTAAAAAAAACCCCTAATTCACAAAATTAAACAATTTGACTTTAAAATTATTGACGAAAAACAATTTGCATGTACAAAATTTATACTTTTACTTGAATCCACCATTTGTTTAAGTTTGAAGGTTGAATTGTTGAAATAAGTTCAATTTTTTTCTTGGGTTTCACTTTGAAGATGAACAATTTTGCTATTTTGAAATTTTTTTTGAAAAATAGAAAAAAAATAGAGAGAAAAGTTATGGAGAGAGAAAATGAGTACTTTGGAAATGATTTTTACCCAAATTCATTGAAATTCTTAAATGAAAACGATGGTGTAAAGGAGAGAAAAAATTGGCAGCAAGAAAGAGAGTGATAGGAAGGGAAAGAGGAGTGAGAAATTGCAGGAGAAGAGAGTGATGGATTTGCAGTTGCAAGAAAATAAAAACATGTTCATTTTTTACCCATGTTCTTTTAAATATACTAAATGTTCTTTAGGGTGCACCAACCACAAATTAAATATTAGCTAATACAACTATACAAGTACTACTGTCCATTACTCCACTTGTCTCACAAGTCACAATATATGAGTAACTTTTTTTTTTTTTGAAAGGAATATATGAGTAACTTTTTATGGAGCGACTTTCTTATTTATAAAACGTTGTCAAGTGTTTGATTTTAATATTTTATATCCTCTTTATTGCATCTTCGTTAGCTAGATAATTTGTGTCTTGTATAATCTCTCGTGTCCTAGTGTACCGTACTTTACAACTTCGCCTGGTAGACTAGTACAATATTCATGAAGATGAGCACTAACTTCGTCACTTAATAGTTGTATAATTGTTTGACTAACATTTTTTTACAAAAAAAAATCGATTGTATAAAAAATATGGGTAATTTGTAAATTACCACCCAAAAATAAGACCATTTTTTATATAACCACCCAAAACAAAATTATTTTTATTTAACCACCCCTTAAATTAAATAAGCGCGCAGATTATCACCCATTTCTAAATTCCGGTGAAAATTCCGTCATTGGGCCCCACTTTTTTTTTTTTCCTTTTTTTTCTTCTATTCTCTGGATTTCTCACTCCCTCTCCCCGATTTTTTCACTCTCCTTCCTACCTTCTTCCTTTCTTCTTCCATTTTCACAAGAATCATGATGATGATGCATATCTACAACAGGGTTTTCATGGGCAACACAATCATCAACAAATAAACCGTTTTTATCAATCTGAGCAACGTTTTCTTGACAATTTTCAACAACTGAGCAACTGGAAGCATCAAAATCTGACCCAGAAACAGAAGAATCACTCACCGAGGGAAAATTTGGAAAACGGTGTTGTTCATCAACATCTTCTTCTTAGATTTGTGATGCTTTGATTTGGGTTTCTTCAATTTATCACGATTCTTAACAAACTGATCAATCAGAGAAGTTGGAAACCCAGTTTCAACAACGAGGGACCCACCTCGTTTAGGCCCTGTTTGCAAGTCGGCAACAAGCCGAGAAATCCGATTCCCTTTCTGTTTCTTCCATAAAGATGGCATAATTAATCAATCAATCAAAAATTCAAGTTACCCAGAAAAATTAATCTCTCAAAATCCCAGATTTTGTCGGGTATAAATTCATCCAAACAAGGAACAAGAAAGGGGATTTGGGGATAATTTGGAAGAGAAAAAATAACCAACAAAGGAAAAAATTGAATTGGGGATTTTCTTAAAATAGAAACCCTAATTTAAGAAAACCCCCAATTCAATTGAAGCATGAACCCTAAATCGACCCTTATTCTTTCGGTGGGGTTTGTTGAGGGCGGTGAGATGTGTGTGGAGGGCAGTGAAGTTGAAGGCGGTGGTCGGTGGGGTGTGTTGAGGGTGGTGGGGTAGATTGCAGTGGCTAGGAAGTATACAAAAATGGAGGAGAGAGAAAGTGGGGGAGATTGGGGCGAGGATTGAAGGTGGAAGAAGAAAGGAAGAAGGAGAGTGAAAAAATCGGGGAGAGAGAGTGAGAAATCCAGAGAATAGAAGAAAAAAAAGGAAAAAATAAAAAATAAGTGGGGTCCACTGACGGAATTTTCACCAGAATTTAGAAATGGGTGGTAATCTGCGCGCTTATTTAATTTAAGGGGTGGTTAAATAAAAATAATTTTGTTTTGGGTGGTTATATCAAAAATGGTCTTATTTTTGGGTAGTAATTTACAAATTACCCTAAAAATATTGTACATCTAATATAATTATATAACGTTATCTTAAAATTATCAAAATTTACTCTGTAATAAGTTATAAGTTACCTTAACACAAGGAAAAGTTATTTATACTTGATTGATATAAGTTACCCAAAAAATTCTAAAAGTCGCCTTAATTTCAATATAAAAGTTACCTCAATGTACAGTAATATTAGTTTACATCGGATGTATATACAAAATCTGAAAATGGTTTATGGCTGCAATGCACTAAATTGATCACAATAACGAAGTATATCTTAATTGTATACTGATAAAATTATAGATACTAATATTTAAAAAGTACATATATTATTTGGACACTTCTAATAAGATTTCACTTCACTGCATATGTTTATTCTTTAATGAGCAAATTTTAGCACTAGTTAGTGAGAACTAGTGAGAACTAGCACTAGTTAGTGAGAACTAAGAATTTATGGGCAAATTTTTAAAGGTTTGGCCTTCAAAAGAGAAATGATGCAGCTACTCCCTTTGACCCTATTTTTTTCATCTCATTTGACTTTTCATAGTTTTCAAGACACATCTTATAACATATCCATCTTCATTTTATATGCGTAAAAATTATAAAAATTGATATTAGCAAAAAAAAAAAACAACGAGGTAAAAATAAGGGACCACAGTATTTTTTTTAAAGGAGATAGCATTTATTCAGGAGTTGTAGTCAAAATCACTTAATAGTTCAATGCAATAGTGATGGAATAAAGTAAGCTTATTGATTTGTGTAGTGTTTATTATGGATCGAAGTATTAAGTTTGCAATAAACAAAATCAATTCAAAATACACTTAACGAATAAAATTAATTCTTGGATAATTACTCGATATGTCTGAGCTTGTTGAACACATAACAAGTCATACCAAAATATTTGTCAAAATAAAAAAACATACTCCGTATTAGTTATCAATTTACCGTTAAAGGCTAGCAACTAGTTATGGCAAACCAGCAACCAATAAATTTCCCATTTTATCTCTTATTCCAAGCCGCCTCTGTCTTTTCTCTTTCCTCCCTCTTTTTCTTTGATTTAATTCACTTTTTATTATTTAATTTATTTTGCTTTGATTTGTTCTCTTCGTTTGTGAGGGTCTGTCCCAGTTTTTGTTGAGTATTTTTCCCAAATTTCTAGGATTTTGATTATCATAATTTAATTTTTAGGGTTTTAATAATAATTGAGAATGAAGGTGACTTGGATCCATATGGGTTTAGGGTTCGTCTTCAACTCTACGATCAAAATATCAGCGCAGATTGTGAATGTCTCTACTTGAAAAGATGTAAAGACATCGAAAATCACTGTTCGCGTCAAGTTTGAAGCAGTGGAGTGTGAGTTATGCCCGATATGCAAATTAGTTATGCATTTGATTGTAAAAATTGTGTTAGTTTCTCTAGATCCTTGGTTCCCAAATCTTTATTAATATTGTAGATGTCGTATGACTATTTATTTTAATAAACTTAGGGGGCCTTTGGTTCGCAAAATGGTATATGTTTGGAATCAAGAATAGGGTTAAGGTGGTATCGGGTTGGAACTTGATACTTAATACTATGTGTTTGGTTCAATTCTGGAATGAAATATCATCCCCTTAATTTCATATATTTGATACCTAAGGGAATGGAATGAGCCAAACCCACCTCCCCCCCCCCCCAAGGTTTCTAAACCCCATACCTCATGGGTTTGAGGTGTGGGTTTAAAAATCATATTTTTGACAACCAAACATATGGTATGAGTTTTGGTCATTCTAAACCCATACCTAATACCTATAATCCGCGAACCAAACGCCCCCTTAGTATTTTTTACAGACCAATAAACTTAGTTGGTTAGCAAAGTGATAACTTAATTTTGAGCAAAATTTAAAATAAGACTCGATTCGAGATTTGAGATTTTTTTACGGGTCTACAATTCCAAATATCTAAAAAAATAACTTGATCATATTCGATTTGAGAACCTAATTATTTGTAAAAAAAATCTAAAATATCTCATCTTTTTTATTAGATTGGATCAATGGCTAGTCAAATTGGATCTTTTTTCGATCATAATCCCAAATGCAAAGCATTGCTACAAAATCATACAAAGTTAAAAGCATAGATGGTTGGTTCAAGCAATTCATCAATCACGGCATGTAACTCTCACATGCAGAAAATAAAAACCATCTATATAATGTAACAAATATTTATTAATAAAATATAAAAAAATTAGATTAAACAAATATTGTTTAGAATCATACCTCGGAATTGATGAACGCGGTCATCGAAGTAATTGACAAGTAAACCCTTTAAGAAAAATGTGCATCGCGATATTTTACTTT